CCACCACATGGTGGCTCGGTGGCCGAGCCACCTGTGGCCGGCCACACTGTGCCCAAGGCACAGTGAGGGTAGCCTATAAATAGGCCACCCCCTTGTTCATTTGAGAAGGTTGGAAATTTTGGAGAGAGGCGAAGCCCTGCTGGATTGGAGACTCGGAACTTAAAAAAGATTGAAACTTTGGGACTTCGGGGACTCACTCCTTCAGATCTGGTGCTCGGCGATCATCAACGTCAAATAAGGCAGGTGTTCGAGAGGATCAGATCTCAGATCTACGCAGGCATACTCCGGATCTAAGCTTGGTCTTAGATCCCGAGACTTGGACGATTGTTTCCTTGGTGAAACAATCCTCCCCGGCTATTATTTCCTTGGTGAAATAATACCCGTCGTACTGCGTAGATCCGACCGGATCTAGATCTCGCGGTGGTCCACGGCAAATAACCCCGGCGCAGGCAAAGAACCCACAAAGCGAGCGACCGCAAAACAGGAGCTCGCGATTCGTTCGACATAAAGGAGAAAAGTTGTAATCTTTGTTTATTTTTATTTGATTTTCGTTGTAACCGGATCTTATAAAAAGACCGGATCTTTTGTAACTCAAAAAGTTGTAACTCAAGATGACAAAGGAATCAATAACAAAGAAAGCAACGAATTTTCCAGCAAACAATGTCAAGCGAGAATCCGCCAAAGTCATCCTATAGCCTGCTGCCTCCAATACCCCAAGTGAAATGATGTTCTTCCTCAGTTGAGGAACGAACCTCACATCAGCCAACTCCCGGATCATCCCGTCACTCATTCGAATCTGAACGGTACCAATACTACCAATAGGGCATCTATGATCATTACCCATGAGAACAACATCCCCTCTTTCCAACTCCTGAAAGCTGGAGAACCAATCCCTTCTAGGGCATATGTGGTAAGTAGCACCAGAATCCAACATCCACTCGGTGGAGTCGGCAACATCAACTGACGGAAGAGCTGGGCACGAATAGCCCGAAGAATCTGAATCTGAAACATCGCCACTAGCCTTGGCAACATTTACCTCTGAAGCTTGAACAGCTTTCCCCTTATTCTTCACGGCTTGCAATTTTGGGCATTCGGCTTTCCAATCTCCATCTTCTCTACAAAAGGCACAATGATTCCTACCAACTGCAGGACGCCCCCCTCTAGACTGCGATCTCCTCCCACGGTTTGGACTTTTAGCTCTTGCAATCAATGCCCTCGCAACCAGCTCAATGGAAGTCTCCTTGTCCTTCTTTCGAAGTTGATAGTTCATAAGGGCTGCGGTGACCTCACTATACGAAAGAGATGCCTTCCCATTAATAAGAGTGAGGACAAAGGTCTCATATTCAATAACAACAATGCTTTATCCTCATCTTCAACAATGACATCTACGTTCGCCAAATCTGCAAGTAGCTTCGTGTAGTGGTTCATGTGATCACTAATGGATGTCCCCTTCTTCAATTGGAAGCGATAAAGCCTCCTCTTCAAATGCAAACGATTTTTGACGCTCTTTGTTAAATATTTACCCTCTAGGACCTCCCAAATCTTCTTTGCCGAAGTTTCATTCATCACATCATATTTAAGGTCTTGGGTAAGGCAAGACCTAATCACACCACACGCCGTTCTATTCATTTTATTCCAAACATTTTCATCAATGTCGGCCGGTTTCCCGTCCAACTCCAATGTATCTTCCAAATTTTGCGCATTTAGCGCATCCATGACTTCGCATCGCCAAAGTCCAAAATTATTTGTGCCGTTGAACTTTTCCACATCTATTTTTATAGAATGTATATTCAAACTTTGGACGGCCTTCCCACTAGAAGAACCCTCCCCACTTTTATCTTTTTCGGCCATATATCTCAAAACACCTAATAAACAATTGCGGAACAAATAGGAAATAGATCCAACTTGAAAAAGATAAAAACTTTACCACAAAGATCTCACCTTTATCACCAATCGAAGCTCTAGATGAACTTCCCAACTGATCTACTCCTCCAAAAAGCCCAAGTGTTGCCCGGAGCTCTGATACCAATTGTTGTGCCTCGAGAACCCAAACCAATCGCCGAGAAAAAAAAACCACAACCAAAATTAATAGCACAAACAATCAAACACCAGTTTTACGTGGTTCGGTAAGATGCCTACGTCCACGTGGCAAGGAGGGGGGAGTTTTCACTATTAGAAATCAAGAGGAACAAACTAGGGTTACAATCTCTCACTAAAACCCGCAACAACTCACTCTTAATCTCTCCAATTGCTCCTAAAATAGAAGCTCAAAGAAAACCATCTCAATCTGCTCAAAACTCCTGCCTTACAAACCCTTGAATCGTGTTTGGGTATTTATAGAAAACCCAAACGAAACTGGTCTGGAAAACAGACCCAGCCCATAACCGCAGCGGCGGTCGACCGCAATCCATCGCGGTCGACCGCGGCGGTCGACCGCACTCCATCCAAACAGTCGCTCCAATGTCCAGAGACTTCTGCGGTGGACCGCCACGGTCGACCGCCACGGTCGACCGCTATTTCCTGTGCACGAACGCGGTTGACCGCCGCGGTCGACCGCCACCTAGTCTGCATGAAATCTGAACCTGAGCTCCATCTCTTCATAACCTACAGGAAATCCAGCCACCAATCTCAGAAACTGAACGTGAAGAGGAAATCGAAGCACCAATGTATAAAGGTCGCCTCAACATGGACCGGAGCCCAGAAACATGAACCAATCAACCTATGCAGAACCAAATCCCATATTTTAACTGCACATTAAATCTGAAATCTCAACCCATCACTCACTACTGATATCATCAGTATCGGCTTTCTTCAGCAGATGGAGTGGTGTTCAGTATCCAGGACTACTTTTTGTGTTGGACGGTTTGCTTGTATGCTACATATCGGACGGATATTTTGTGAGAGAATTAGTTATTAGAGCAAAATTTGGAGTTTATTTCTTCGGAACCTTGATGTAAATTCAATTAAACATGCGAACTATGAATATGTTTGTTTGGATATTAATGTGAATGTGGCAGCTCTGGTTGCCAATTATTGACATGTTTGCCAATTATGGACGTCTTTTTTAATCTTTGGTAGGATAAAAATATATAAATGAAATTGTAAGTCAGATCGCAGATTCATGTCCTGATGTATATATACGGGTCAAAGATTGAAATTATTATACCATTTAATTGTAAGTGAAGGCCCCGGTCTCGTTCTGCTAAAGTTTCCAAAACTACCCACCGCACTAAAATCATCATAGTTATTTACAAGGTTGCCATTCAATCCCTCTCACTATCGTCCGTGGGATCCTGTAAAATGGACGATATAGATGAGACGAGGATGATGATAAATAGCAGAGATTCTATTGTAGGGTTTCAGAACTGGCCGCAACCTCTCTCAAGTCTAGAGGGTTTTCGAACTGGCCGCATCCTTTTTCAACCCCCCACCCACCACGCAACAAAAAAAAGAAAAAAAGAAAAAGAAAAATTGTGATTCAATTAGATGACGCGTCTTTTCTTCTGCACTACACTCTTGATGATGGATAATGTTGCTGATGATGAAATCGAATTCTGGATTGGGAGGTTTTGGAAAATAAGTAAGGTATTCTACCATCCAGATTCCCATTTATATGATTTATTTTGTTCTTTTTGAGATTTATTAGAGTTCAGATGCCATATAATTCTTATAACCGGTAAGATGTTGTTTTTCTTTGCTTCTGTTTATTATTTGGTTCGAGATTAGCAATATTTACTATATTAAATGCTAGTTTATTCGGTGAATTATGATAATTTGTATTTACTTTTTGAGCTAAATTTAGGCTTTCTTTACAAATTAGTAATTGTTGCATGCTTTCCACCAGAGTATTTACTTTTTGAGCTAAATTTAGGCTTTCTTTACAAATTAGTAATTGTTGCATGCTTTCCACCAGAGTTTAATGGATTCGTAGTGGAAAGGATTAATATGTGTTTTATTTTGTACATTGTTAATTTATACTTCGTGTTGATGTGTATACACTAAGGTTGAGATGCTACAAGTAATTTTGTTGCTCTGAGTCTTTTTGCGTAAGTACCCATCAAGTCATCCATATTTGCATATTTACCGCCAAACTTGTCTATTTGCTCAGTCGCCCTTACATTCTTAGAAACTGAACATTTCTATCCCGACCCTTCCACTTGGTATTGTCAATTTCCAAACAACAAAAATAAAATGATGAGACCAGATGCTATTAGAGAAGTCAAGAGTATGTTCCGAAGAACGAAACATTGGTTGTGGATGCCCTTCCTACAATGGAGGAGCTTTTGGGTTTTTTTTTTTTTGTGTGCTGGTGGTGTGGGCGGGGGGGGGGACAAGGGTTGAGGGGGCTGACAAACCGTACTTTTCTCCCTCTCATCTTCTTCCCTATTTTCATCTCTGAGCCCTAACTGAAAAACCCAATTTCCCCCTTCTTCGGCGCTTCTTCCCCGTTCTCAGCTCGTGTTCGTCGCCGTTGTCATCTCGTCACTGAGCCCTGACTGAGGTGAAATCCCCATTGTGGCCGTTGTATGTAAGTCGAAGCATGATTTCCCCCTTCTTCGGTGCTTCTTCCCCGTTCTCAGCTCGTGTCCGTCTCGTGTTCGTCACCATCGTCATCTCGTCACTGAGCCCTGACCGAGGTGAAATCCCCATTGTGGTCGCTGTACGCAAGTCGGAGCATGATTTCCCCCTTCGGCGCTTCTTCCCCATTCGCATCTCGTGTCCGTCTCGTGATCATCGCCATCGTCGTCTCGTCACTGAGCCCTGACTGAGGTTAAATCCCTATTGTGGCCGGTCTACGCAAGTCGTAGCACGACGTTGTCATAGTCGGTAGCGGGATCATCGGCCTTTCCATCGCCCGCCACCTCCTCCACTCCGACCTCTCTGTCGCTCTCGTCGACGCCTCCGTCATTGCCTTTGGCTCCACCCGGGCTGGTGAGCTCCGTAGGGTTTGAGTATTATCGTTTAAAGAGGAGTGCTGTGTTATTGAGATCTGGATGTTGAGTATTTGTAGTTTTGAGTTTGCATTATTTTAATAGATCGCATGCTTTATTATCTTTTATGTCGAGAACCTATTTTGATTGAGAACATGCTGTTGATGGTTTTGTAATTAATGGTGATCGATTCAAGAATGTTTGTGTTTTGTGATTGTGGCCAACTTGATCATTTAATTTGAACAATCTCTGTGATTGAAGGTAGCGATCGATATGACACTATGATTTGTTTATGAGACGATATTGGTGATATAAGTAGGTCAAATTTGTAGTTATAATTTATTTTATGATTATTGTTTGGTTGTGTTGTTGACATTTGTTGATGTATTAGTGATCACACAGTCACTTATATCCGTGTTTAGATGAATTTGTTGATGATTGATAAAGGGGTCACTTTCTTCCCTGACTTTATATATAGTTCTTGAATTGGGGTATCCAAAAAATCTACACAAGTAGAAATTTGTAAGAGGATAGGGCTTGGATCCCCCGTTGTACATCCGACGATCTAGTTAGTTGATGAATTTGAGTGAGGTTTTTGAGTTGTAATTCTTGTGCGTGTGTGATATGATTTGTAGAGTTATAAGAGTTTTTATCAGAATTTAGAATTCGGTCCTCGCTAAAGTCAAAAATAGTACCTATATTTATACTAAGGTGGTAAGGGTAAATTGGTCACTTTGGTCAAGAGCAGAGAGGCGGTGGCGAAGTATGGGTTGACGGTCACGTCGGCACTTGCTTTACAGGTGTCGGTTAGCAAGTGGAGAGAAGGTTACTTCGGCATTAGATGGAAAGAGACTGGCGACATTGGCCGGGCCCATGTGGTCCGATGAGTCATGAAGACTATCTGGGCTAGAGTCATGATGGCACCTACTAGGTCGGCCAAGCATCTTCGCTGAGACGTTCCTCCCATGGAGGCAAAGTTAGCCGAGGAGGAGGCCGCTCCCTCCCTCGTCTATAAACTGTGGAGGAATGTAGAAAGAGTACCCCAAGCGAGGCGGGTGCCTTGAGCTGATCGAGCTTACTCAAGGAGACAAAGCAGAGCGCAAGAGCCGTTGCTGGAGAAGCGTCGTTGCCTGGCGCACCGCTTAGTCGCCTCGACAGGGGAAGGACCAGTTTAGGAGGAGACGAAGCCTTCTACTAGGCTGGAATACCTTTTTTCTCATAGGATTGCTGACATCGGGGAGGAAAAATGTGACGTGATGAAGAAATACCTCATCGGACTCACCGGGGTCGGCGCTTAACACGAACAGGAGCCTAAGCCATAGTTCTGCTTCGAGGCTGAACGCCATCTCGATGCCTGGGGGATCGTCCTGGGGTCTCGTCGGATCTAGTCAAGGGTGGTTGCCTAATTCCTTCTTCCTCAAGGTGAGAAGTATCTCGAGGGGGTTCCCGACATTGGCCACAATCACACCCTTTGTAGCTATTTCATTCAAGGTGCTCTATTGGAGCATGAGTTATATCGTGTAAACTTTGGAGATTTCCTATTTATTTATTTAAGTTTATAAGAAATTTATTTTTGTCTTTGTAGGCAAAAAAAATTATGAGAAACCCGATAGGCATAGGAATGAGGAAAAGACGAAAATACCTCCGAAAGGGTACCAAGCTATTTTTGAGTGGAAGGGCAACATTCCTGTTGGGGATTGGGCCGTCAGATTTAATAACTTGATTGGCTATTTAATAAGAGATCCATGCTCCATTAACATTGCTCATAACTTTGAGGAGCAAGAATTTAAAGGCATAAAGAAGATTTGGGAGAAGCTCATGGTAATTATTTATTATAATGCTTATTTTGTTTACAATTCACAATGATTATTCTTATAGTGTAATTTTTTTTGTCATGCAACTTGTAGGATCATTATTGTCTTGAGGACAACCCAAAGTCTTGGGATTATGTTATCTCCAGAATGGCCAAGCTTATTCGGGGTTGGAAGAGTGATCTAAAGAAAAGATATTTTATAAAAATATCTACTGATTGGAAGAGGATCTATGAGCTTGATAAGAGAGTTTCTCTATTTAATTGGATGACTCTCATTATCGAGTGGGAGGGTGAGAAGGGGATTATTTTTAATTTATGATATGTTATTGTCATCGTGTTATTTTTTATTTATATATTATCATCTCATATACTAATAAAATACTTTATTTTGTAGAAAATATGTGAGACGACATCGGCTAATCGCAGATCAAAGCTATACGACCACTTTTTAGGATCTACTCCTTATGCTCGGATCGAGCATAAGTATTTGAGTGAAAACCTGGTATGAGCATATTATTAAAATTGATATTATGTGATTAGTTTCATACATTTAATTTGGAATTTATTATATCACAAGACGCTTTGACTATGCCCCCGACTCTTCTTGCTAGAAGAGCTTATATACTGCCCCAGGGCTATGAAAATGTAGAGGGAAATAACAAAAAGTGAAAAAAAAAATTAAAGAATTGGTTGTAAGTATAAGATTAATTTTAGATTGGTATATACTTAATGATTTCTCATCAAAGTTTCTAATTTTTATGATATATGGGTTTTTATTTCTAGGCCCATTTGTTTACTCAACTTTACCTATAAACCCAATCATTATTACTTGTATCTTTAAACCAAATTCATTTTGTTTTTGTCTTTAAACCTAATTTTCAAAATACAGTAGGTAAAGCACTTGCATTTATACAGAAACATGGTAAAAACCCAAAAAAAACCCTTTCATTAGCCTAATGTAAACCACTATATCTTTCTCTCTCTCATTTCCCCCCTTTTCAACTCGGCTCTAATTTAAAAAACGGAAATCCCTTTTCTCGTGACCTTCGCCGCCGTCGTTGTTGTCACTCACCGCCGTCGCAATCGCCCGTCGTCGTCGATCTTGCTGTCGTTCGTCGCCCATCTCAACTCTCGTGTTGGGAATTTGGATTGTCTTGTTTTTCAACTTCGTCGCTGTCGCCCCCCGTCATCACAGTCGTCGTTGCTGTCGATCTCGCTGTTGCCGTCGACCTCGTCGTCGCTCGTCGACTGTCCTAGCTCTCGTGCTGGTGAGTAAATGGGGATTTTTCATTTTATTTTTTGACTTGGGTATTTTATACTAAGATCTCTTGTATATGATTAGCTAATGTAGTGACTTGCCCACGATTCGATACACCAATGATTACTTCCTTCGATGGGCCGAGTATCCAGTTGATGATGCTTATTACTTGTTTAACCATTTGAAGTTTACCATTTTGATTCTTAAATATGAGGAGACCAATGTGGCTAGGGTTATGGGTACTGGGGATGCCGTAAAGGCGATACCCAATATGGAAAAATCAAAATCTGGGTTTGATTTGCCTCCGGGTTTTATGGTGGTCGGGTTTGAGGTTGTGCCTTGTCTTCTTAGTAAGTTGCATTGTTTAAGGTGAAGAAGGAAGTTCTTTTTGATCGGTGTTATCCAAGTAATGTGGAAGTTCTTTTTGATTGTTATTGATTTAAGTCTGACTATTTTTTGTGTTTGCATGCAAATACACTTGTATACTATTTTTTGTTTTAACGGCGGATTTTGGTCGTTGCCAATGTTTTTTCATTGCCAATGACTATTGGCGACGGATCGTTTCCGTCGCCAATACCTATTGGCAACACGATCCGTCGCCAATACCTATTGGCGACGAATGCGATACGTCACCAATATTTATTAACGACGGATGTGTTCCGTCGACAATACCTATTGGCGACGTACACGATCCGTCGCCAATGACTATTGGCGACGGAAAACATTGGCGATGGATCGTGTACATCGCCAATACCTATTGGCGATGGATGCGTTCCGTCGCCGATACTAATGTGCCCATCGTAAAAATTTTAAATTATTAATTGATTATCCTATTGTTAAGGAGTTGTGTCCACAAAAAATTAAGAATTGTTTTAATATTAGCCCGTCAAATCTATAATATTTAAAAAATAGTCCACCAAATTATGTAAAAATTACATGCTAATACGTCTAAGGATGTAATCGAACCAAATAATTAACCAATAGTTCGATAATTGTTCAAACAATTTTTTTAGTTATATTCGATTCGGTAGTTCATTTAACACATTCAATTTTGCTAACGATTAGAATTTGACTAGATGTACATATATACGATACGTTTGTTTATTAAATATTCATTTAAAATTGATCACACGTTATTATTTATATTATTGCATATATGATGTCATATTTGTGTATTTTGGCTTCATCTTTGATTAGTTTAGAGAAAATGATGATAAAAGTGAAAATGGTGAGAGACCAATGATGAGTGTTTGCGGAGAAAGTTGTTGTATTCATTGCTGTATTCATTACAACTTCAATCGTTACAATGAAACAAAAAAAGATTGTCTTTTTATAAGACTCTTACACAATGAAAACAAAAGTTACAACTCTCGTCAAAACAAACGCAAGATCCGTTTATCGTCTCTTGTTTGCGTGGGTCTTTGGCCTGTGACGGGGACGTCAATATCCGTGGACTACCTGGCACTCAGATCTGTTCCGAAAAATCGGACAGAGCTTCGTCGATCCGCGTGAGATCTAGAAGCCTGAAGCGTCTATCTCGGCTAAAACGAGATATCTGCTCTTCTTAGTGATTACCGGCGAAGGGTAATACTAAGGAAAAGGGGGGACGGGTGATGAAGGCTCTGATGAAGACCTCTCCTCTCCTTGTTGAAGCGCTCGATCACTCTTCACTGCAGCAGGGCTTCGCCAATCTTCTTCGAAAATCCCGATCTACAAAAATGAGGCCCAAGGGGGCTATTTATAGGCAATAGGAGCACCTAGGGGGCCTAGACACCCCTGGGTGTCTCAGAAAAATCCGAGACACCCCAGGGGTGTCTCGGAAATTTCCGAGACACCTTGGGGTCTCTCGGAATTTCCGAGACACCCCTTGGGGTGTTTTGGAATTCCCGAAACTCCGTTGAGGTGTATTCGACTGTTTTCGCCGTAAATTCTTCGCCCGAACTCGGATTTGAGTGATTCCAAGTGCGTTGGATGCATGACGAAGAGTTCGATCCGCTCCGGTGGTTGGATTATCTGTAGAGTGATCGAGGCATGAATGACATTGTCCTTTTTGTGAACATCGCCGGGTTCCCGATTGGCCTGGGTCTTCGTTGTTCCGAAATCCTATCAACTCACGTAGTTCGTCGATTCACTTAAATCGTTCATCGACGTCAATTGGACTCCTGTGGATCGGATAGGGACGTTCATCGTCGTTCTTTAACACTGAACCGTTCGTGGAGACCTATAGGCAATTTTCGATGCCTACAGATACCCCCTTCAAAGCGTTCCGGACTCGTTTCTTTTATAGAAGAGGCTGGAATACTTTGGATGTGATTGGTCTAGCCTTCAGTCGGCGTAAGGACCTGTAGTTAGCTTCAACTCTTGGCTCCTTCGATTTTCGGTCTATTCGATGCTTTGACGAATAGCCGAAGTTCTTCCGGCACTGCGTTTATTGCTTGGCCGTCGTCGGAGTCTCGAGTCTGCAGCTGATGAATTGAGTTTGGCTCGTGTCATTGAGTTGACTTTGAACTACCTCCGTCACATTGTGTTGACTTAGGGTTTCGGATCACCGTGTGTTGACTTTTTGTCGCAACGCGTTGACTGGCGTTGACCTAGGGTCACGCGTTGACCGGCGTTGACCTTAGGGTTTCGGATCACCGTGTGTTGACTTTTTGTCGCAACGCGTTGACTGGCGTTGACCTAGGGTTACGCGTTGACCGGCGTTGACCTTAGGGTTTCAGATCACCGTGTGTTGACTTTTTGTCGCAACGCGTTGACTGGTGTTGACCTAGGGTTACACGTTGACCGGCGTTGACCCTTAGGGTTTTGAATCGTCAAACGTTGACTCTGATCGCAACGCGTTGACTGGCGTTGACCTAGGGTTACGCGTTGACCGGTGTTGACCCTAGGGTTTCGAATCGTCATTGGATGCTGATCGCAACGCGTTGATTGGCGTTGACCTAGGGTTACGCGTTGACCAGCGTTGACCTTAGGGTTTTGAATCGTCAAACGTTGACTCTGATCGCAACGCGTTGATTGGCGTTGATCTAGGGTTACGCATTGACCGGCGTTGACCTTAGGGTTTTGAATCGTCAAACGTTGACTCGTGTTGCAACGCGTTGACTGGCGTTGACCTAAGGTTACGCGTTGACCAATCGTTGACCCTAGGGTTTCGCGCATCGAATGTTAATTGGTGTCGATTTTCATCAAGACATCCAATAATCGATGAAAACGGGCGAATTCGGGCCTAACATAGGCGTACAGGGACAAAACGGGACCCGAAACACCCGTGGGTGTCTCACCCTTGGCCGAGACACCCTTGGGTGTCTCGGTTCTAGGGCCGAGACACTCCCCCTCTCTCCCCTTTTTGCTTTCTCTTTTGTTTCTTTCCTCTTTTGTTTCCCCCTCTTTTCAAAATTCAAAAGGATTTCCCTCTTAAATTTTGAACCCCTTCTTCTTCCTCCATACTCCATACACCATTGTTTTCAAAACTCAAAACCCATAAACCTCATCAAGAAGTTTCGGATTTTTTGGTGTTTTCTCCTTGGCCGAAAATACCATCTCCTCCAAGCTAGGGTTTCATCATCTTCAAGCTCAAGAAGAGCCTCTTGATTTGGTAAGTTCCCCTTCAAAACTTTTCTCTTTTTCAAGAAAGATCATAGCTTTATGTTCTTATGAGTTAGAGGATAGGCTCTTTGATGATGGGTTGTGTAGGCACAAGAATTTGGGGGGGTTTTATGCTAGGTTACCATAGGGTCGAAATTTGGGGGGCCTTTATGTAAAGTTACAATATGGCCGAAAATTTGAGGGGGCTTTTATGCAAAATGGGACTGAAATTAGGCTTTGGATTGCATGTCCACTTGGTCGAAAATTTGAGGGGTGTTTTATGCAAGAAAACCAATGTTGTTTGAGGGGTTTATTTGCAAAAGGGCTAAAATTTGTGGCTGAAATTCCAACAATTTAGACTACAACCTAATAACCAAAGTTTTGGTAAGGGTATGTGGACGTTAAATTGGAATTAGTGAAGGGGTCTATATGCAAAATTGGCTCAATTCTACAAAAGGGCTTATTTGTAAAATTAACCAAAATTGTGGGATATCGGGGGGTGCTATATGATCAAATATGATGACCATGACCCAACCCGAGTGTGTCCTTGACCCGAATTTAGCCTTGAACACGAAGGATATTTTGGGTATTACACCAAAATTCACCGCGAGTCATGACAATCATTGTTTCGAATGCACGAAATTCGTAGGTTTAACTAGACTTCAATTATAAAATCCTATTTATACATAGGATTTCGATTAAAGTTCTTAATTTCCCTTTTAAATTTCGCGTATTCATATTTTAGATTGTACCTGACTTGCTGTTTTTCGTTGCAGATTTTCAGAGGAACCGAGAGACCATTCTTTGGGAATGATTCATCCACCGGTATATATCTGATTCCCTTCCTCTTGCCTGATCTTTTATCTGACTGACGAAGGATTAATATTGCAGCGCCAACCATTGGGATTAGCCCGATATCGATTCCTGACATATCTAGCTTGCCTCGGAGTGACGGACTCGCAGGTACGCATACGATTTAGGGATATCGTACTTCTCTATGTTCATCTGACTGTTGACTAACATACGAGTGCAATCATAAGACCAGCCACCGGGACTGATTCTCTTATGACTCCTGGCATTCCTCAGATGCCTACGGATGATGTACCTACAGGTATGCAGATGACCTTATTATCCCAATCCTCCTTATTTGTCTAAATTTTTATTTTGACTAATAAGAGGGTGCCACTATAGGCCCAGCCGCTTGGGCCGATACTCTTATGACTCTTGGCATTCCGGCTGCGTCTGAGGACGGGGGGATTGCAGGTATGCATATGATCTTCTTGTCCTGATTCTCCTTATTTGTCCAAATTTCCATTTGGCTAATATAGGAGTGTAACTATAGGACCGGTCGTTGGGCCTGATACTACTACAGTTCCCGGGGCTGAAAGCCTGCATAGAAGTGGCGCCTCCCCGCCCTTGCCGAGTGGTATGAGCAATCTGCCTGCAGGGGTTGATATACCCTCCATGACTACTTCTGCCACTGTCTCAGAGCCTGTCGGACCTCAACCTGAGGGGACGTCCGTTGGCGTTTGTATGCTCAGAACTTGCCTTTTGAATTTCCTTATCGTATTCGATAATCCGCTGAACTTCTATGTTGTTGCTTGTAGGATCTCGATCTTCTTTATACGAGCGTGTCCGCGCCCTTCTGGTCGATACTGATCCTGACAGAGGTTTTTCGTACGGACCTCAGCTTCTTCACTGTCTTTTATAACGGCCTGATCGAGAAGCTTCTTCATAGAGGAGGCGGCTTTGATCAGTTCAGGCGTTCCTTTTCTCGCCACATGATGATGAGGAAAGAAGGATACCCGGAATTGGCCGATTCCTTTACTGCCGATTTCGCTGTCCTGGAGTCAGAGATACGAGAGTTGAAGGAATTGGAGGTTAACGGGGCTTCTTCTTTCGTGTCCTCTCAGTTGGAGCATAGGCTGGCACAGTGGCGTGACCTGAGATCTTCCATCGGGTGCGAGCTTCAGTCACACGTGGCGAGGAAAGATAGGACTCGAACCGCGAGGAAATGACTAGGTTGAAAGAGGCCTTGAAGTGCGTTGAGGAATCTACTGCTCTTATTGTAGATGACCTGGCTGGACTAGAGCGTTCTCGTGAACAGGCACTCGAGGAGCTCGGATCCACCCAGGAGAGACTGATGAAGCTGAAGAGTGAAGCTGCGGGGATTTTAAGCAGTTCTGAGGAATCTGCCCGAGCTGATCTGCAGGCGGGACTTGAGCGGAGTTATGTAGATAGACTTTTTAGCTTAAAGTCTCATATTCTCAGCCGCCAGCTGCCTTCGGGCTAACGAGCTTTTTGTTGTATGCTTTTGACTCGATCTATTAATAGAAACTCCTTTTTGTTGTATGCTTTTGACTCGATCTATTAATAGAAACTCCGCATTTGCTTCTTTCTTGTGATTTTTTTTTGTATTTCTTCCGAATGACAGATTTATGGGATTTTTGGCAAACCCCCAGCCCTCAACGAGTTTGATATGTCTTTACCGATTACCGTTTGAAATCGGACTAGCATGTGAATTATTAAACCCGTCTCACATGTAACGTTGTGCTAAGAGAGTCGATTCTCTGAGGCTTTGTGCTATGATTTTGAATACATAGGCTTCGTCTTTCTCACGGGAATAGACTACCCGGCAACGCGTGTTAGGCGTTGACTTATCCCTACTTAGGCTTCAGGATGAAATTCCCCAGACTGGAATTCTGGTGTCTTCTTCAATCGGTAAAAGACTAAACCGGCAATGTGTGTTAGACATGGACTTTGGAATATCCCTTCTTAGGCTTCGGGATAAAATTCCCCAGACTGGATTCTGGTGTCTTCTTCAATCGGTAAAAGACTAAACCGGCAACGCGTGTTAGGCGTAGGCTTATCTCTATTTAGAAGTCGAGATAAAATTCCCCGTGCAGCAAGTACCCGGATTGGAAGTTGAGAATTGTGTCTTTTCTAAGAGCAAAGACAGACTGAGAAACGGGAGAGGAAGAATTTTATATTCTATCTCCCGGTGCTGAAGAGGAAGAATTTTATATTCTATCTTCAACTGGAAAGGAAACGGGAGAGGAAGAATTTTATATTCTATCTCCCGGTGCTGAAGAGGAAGAATTTTATATTTTATATTCAGGTGGAAAGGAAACGGGAGAGGAAGAATTTTATATTCTATCTCCCGGTGCTGAAGAGGAAGAATTTTATATTCTATCTTCAGCTGGAAAGGAAACTCGAGGTGGGATCTCCACCCCCAGAATCCGGAAGGATGAAACTAAGAGTGGGATCTCCACTCCGAGAATCGAAAAGGTTCGAACGACCCTAACTTTTATAGGATTGGTCACTCGATTTGAAAGTGGACCTCTCGTTCATTGGAGGAATCGAGAGGGGATTTTGGCTTTGGCCCTAACTTTTATAGGTTTGACCAGAAAGCAAAGAAAGTGGAATACGGGTAGCAAAGAAAGTGCCAACTCGTATTGGCTTGACTAAGCGAGATCGGGAACAATCCTAACTTTTATAGGTTTGACTGTTCCAAGTGGACCTCTCGTTCATGGAAGGAATCGAGAGAGGAATTTGGCTTTGGCCCTAACTTTTATAGGTTTGACCAGAAGGCAAAGAAAGTGGAATACGGGTAGCAAAGAAAGTGCCAACTCGTATTATCACTCAAAGGGAGACTTTAACGCTAGGTGATTATGACCTAACATGTTGAGTCTGAGAAATGCCAATGACTGGCAGATGGAAATGTTGGTGGATCCACTGTCGTTTAATTTGATCAGCGGATGGTTTGGTGAAGAAAGATTAACTTATCAGAGGATTAGATCTCATCTCAGGAAAATAACTCATAAGAAACATTCTGACATTCAGAGTTCGAATGTAGATTTCTTATTCGTCAATTCTACAATGATTGGGTTATCCCTAAGAATACCCATGTAGTATTCTTCCGGGAACTTCCCGATGCATTGGTTATCCTGAATATACTAAGGATAATATCTTTTCAGGAACTTGCCATTTATCGGCATCATAAGCCAGTCACCGTCCTTGGTGATAAGACGATATGCGCCACTCGAGTAGACTGTCTCCACTACGAATGGTCCCTCCCATTTGGGTTCAAATTTACCCTTCTTTTTGGAGTTAAGGATCATCGGTCGGCGAGCAGTGAGGACCAGATCTCATTCTTTGAAACTCCTTTGTCGAACCTTTTTGTCGAAGGATCATCGGTCGTCATCTGGGTTGCAAGAGCGATCCGAAGAGATGGGATTTGGATCTCCAATGGAAGAACGGCTTCACATCCGTATACCAGCGAATACGGGGTTGCTCCCGTTGGTGTGCGCACCGTGGTCCGATAGGCCCATAGAGCCACGCCAAGCTTGTCATCCCAGTCTCGTTTATTAGTTTTCACGATCTTTGACAAGAGTTTGATGATAGTCTTGTTGAAGGCTTCAGCTAATCCATTCGCTGTAGGATTATAAGCCGTCGACGAGATATCTTGAATTTTAAACTTTTCGCAGAACCTTATGAAGGCGTTGCTGACAAACTGAGGACCGTTGTCATGTATGATTCGTCTTGGAACACCATACCTATAGATGATGTGGTGCTTGATGAATGCAATGACATTACTCGTTTTAACTTCTCTGAGTGGAACTGCTTCAGCCCATTTGGAGAAGTAATCGGTAATTGCCAGGATGAACCGGTCGCCTTTGACTGATGGGGGATTTATAGGGCCAATAATGTCCATTCCCCAAGTCTCGAATGTCCATGACGTAACCGAAGGATGTAGATGCTCCGGAGGTTGGTGCATATAATTCCCGTGTATTTGACACGCATTACACTTTCGGGCATACGTGATTGCATCACTCATCATGGAAGGCCAAAAATACCCCATTCTTCTGATGCGATCGTAAAGCTTGAGACCAGGTTGGTGTGCGTCACACTCTCCTTCATGCGCCTCCCTAAGGACCTCTTCATAGTACCCCCTGCGGTATCGCGTTCGATTCTCCGTATTGTAGTAGAATCTTGGTGCTCTTCGCCGGATTGACTCTCTTTCCTTTACATCTTCTGGCAAGATTCCATGCAAGACGTAGTCGATGATGGGGAAACGCCAATCTCGTGGTTCAAACTCGACTTGAGTAGCGTGCACTTCTTGAACCTCTTCTTCGTTGGCATCTTCATTGTAAAGCGGTACTAGGAGTTGGTGAGTCCTTACCGTAATGAACTATTCTGTCTCAGGAGGCTGCGCCAGTGATACGGCTAATGCTGCTAACGCGTCTGCATAAGTATTCTGTAGCCGTGGAATATGTTCGATAAAGAATCCCTCGAATGATTCCGCTATCTCTACTACCATCTTATGGTATGGAATTAAATCTTGACTTCGGACTTCATATTCTCCTTGGACTTGCTTGACTATTAGCTGAGAATCACCGAAAGCCTCGAGATACTCAACCCCCAGCTCCTTAGCGAAGTTGAGTCCTATAATCAATGCGTTATACTCTGCTACATTATTCGAGCACGGTTCAGTCAACGAGTAAGCTCGAGGCATCACGTGTTTTCCTGGGGAAACTAAGACAACTCCCACTCCGGAAGAAATCTTAGAACTTCCAGGAGCACTTGCTACATTAGTTGCTCGTGACGCGCCGTCGAAATATAGACGCCATACTTGCTGCGACCAAATAATGCCGCATCTTCTGAATGGCGAACACCAAGGCGAGGCATTCTCTCTCAATCATAGGATATCGAGATTCGGCGCCTACCATGGTTCGGCTCAAATAATATACTGTCTGCTCATGACCGTTATCGTCATCTTGTGCAAGTAATGCACTTAATGAGTGGCTCGTCGCCTTGACATAAATCAAGAACGGTTTGCCCGATTTCGGTGCAACGAGTACAGGAGGTTTCGAGAGATATTCTTTAATACTCTCGAATGCCTTTTGACAAGCGTCATCCCATACAAAAGACACGCCCTTCTTTGCGAGCTTGGAGAATGGTTGGCATTTTCCTGAGAGGTTCGAGATGAACCGACGAATATAAGCTAATCGCCCTTGCAATCCTCTGAGCTCCTTGAGGTTTCTTGGCGGTTGCAATTCATTAATCGCCTTTACTTTATCAGGATCGATGTGAATACCTTTGGTGGTGACGACGAATCCCAGGAATTTTCCACTCGACATTCCGAGGAAAGACTTGGTAGGATTCATCTTCAATTGATGGGCTCGCATCAAGTCGAACATGGTCTTCAAGTCTTTAATGTGATCCTTTTTATCACGACTTTTCACGACCAGATCGTCTACGTA